AATGTATAATATTGTAACGGAAACAAAACAGGAAACAAATCATCAATCAAAAAATTGCTCTCGTTTTTATTCGGGCTACTTAAATTTATTTTGGGCTACCAAAAACTGAAGAGTCCCTGCCCGAAGGGCTACCAGGGATTTTGAAATTTTGCGAGCCCTGGTTTAGGATTGCAAAACTGAATCTGAACAAATCACAAGACAGGGGTATCAAACCAGACATGGCTACTTGCACTCGCGACTTAGACTCGAGTCACAGTTAAGTTGCAAAAACCAAAGCCTTCAGACTTGAGACTTAGACTCGAGGGTTGGGGCTTGAGTCTTGAGAAACATTTTTTACCCATGTAAATACGGTAACTGTAGGTTATTTGGATAGTAACGAGATGTACACAGCAATTTGTCTCTAATATTTAATAAAATGTTCTGAATATGCTAATAATTTGTGAATTTTTGTTTTAAATTTATCATTAATTATGTGAGGGTTGTAAGGAAGACATAGTCCAAAGGTTTCATCATATTTCACTGTATAAATGAAGTGTTTCTTAAATCTTTGTTGTCCAGATATTAAATATATATATTACAATATAGATATTAAAGTGTCATTTTTTCAAACGATAACCAAGGAGAGATAGCAGCAGCAACAATGTGGCAAAGACTATTAAATAATTATACAGACCATTATAATTACAATTACATCCAGCCCTGAACTCCTCATAGGTTACAAAAATATTCCTTTTCATATGACTGACTCAAGCTACGGTGCTTGACAGCTGGAATGAGGTGTGTTTGCCAATATTCAGTGTCTGCTTTTGATCAGACATAGCACTGTAGATTATGGCAAAACATCTCCACTTTGGTTTTTGCTGTCCAAAGGATACTGCTCCAGAAATCTTCTGGCTTGTTCAGATGAACTTTTAAAAAAAAAAAACCTAAGCTATGCTAACATGTTCTTTTTAGAGAGCAACCTTCCAAATAAGCCATATTTGTTCAGTTTGGTTTTTTTTTTCAAATTGTACTGTCAGTAAACTCTGGGTCTCCATAGCATTGTGATAACACGTACCTTAATACTCAAGACTGCTACTTTTATAGAGATGGTAACAGTTGATAATCATGATCAGTGAGTGAATCAAGTGGATTTAATTAGCAGCATTTGGGGCACTTGGAGTAATTTGTGGATTGTCATGTAAATTCTCTGCTGGTCAGTAAACATTGTAGAAACTGTGTAAATAAACTTAAACACTTGTGTGCCAGGTGAACATATGAGGGGTTTCATAGTGGCAGTGTGCTGAACTGTGACTGACCTTGGGGGAGCAGATGGGACTGGCAGATGGGGAGCGAATGGCACCTTTGTTGATAAGGTCACGTCGTGGTGGGACAGGTGGGAGGCTGAGGTGCTGGACACATTGGCTGGAGTTTCCCCCATGGGCTTTTCTGTGTTGGCTGACAGGTGAAGAACTGGGCGACACCATTGGCGATTTCTGATGCTCGCCACATTGCTAAGGGAAAAGGTAAATAAACTTTTAAAAAAAAATTCTTAGTCGTTTATTACCAGTTCTATCCTGATTAGAGACTGCTAGAATCCACATTCTTTATAGGGGATAGATGGAAGCAAATCTACACCACTTTAAAATGTGGTAAAATGTTAATCAATTTCCCGTTTTGATTACCCGAGATTATGCTCTCGCCACTGCTCCAGAAGTGATGTATCATAGCCAACATAATGAGAAGGTTAGATATAACCTAGAGCTCAGTATTCTATTTTCAATAGTACTGTACTATCTATCATCAGTTGTCATGGGGCAAAAGGCAGAGTACAACCTGGACAGACTGCCAGTCTGTCACAGGGTTAACACATAGAGACAGATAAACATTAACACTCATGTTCACACATGCTTGGCCAATGCTCTTTTTTGGACTGTGGAAGTAAGCCTTGGAATCTGCAGTTGTTTAGAAATGGCTCAAATGGCTCCACCATCCTAACTTCTGTAAATTTTATAAGTCTCCGTCTTAGCGTTACTACCAATTGTAGTCAATGGTTATGACTAACAACCATAAGAAGATGTCATCAGATGGTGTCAAACCATCAGCAGTTTTTTTTAACCATGAACCACAATGCTTTTAGGTTGGCTGGTCAACAATGATAGCCAGTCACTGCTCATCTTCTCCTGGTCCCCAGCTACCCTGTTCTTTGATTTCTCCAGTGCTTTTAACACCATTCAGCCACGACTTCTGAGGGACAAGCTGGAGCTATCAGGAGTGGACCACCACGTGTCCCAGTGGATACTGGACTACCTCACAGGACGCCCACGATATGTGAGGGCACAGGGCTGTGTCTCTGATATGCTGGTCTGCAGTACGGGGGCCCCACAGGGAACTATGCTGGCACCATTCCTCTTCACCCTCTACACTGCAGACTTCTACATCAACTCCCCACGCTGCCACCTACAGAAGTTGTCTGACGACTCTGCCATAGTGGGCCTCATCACAGGTGAGGATGACTCAGGCTTCGTCCACACTAGCCTGAATAGATTTGAAAAGGTGAAAAGGTCTGAAAACGCTCTGCGTCCACACTTTCAGTCGTTTTCACACAGATGTGCGTCCACATTGAAACGGCCGAAAACGCTTACGTTCAAGCACGTGCGTGAAACACAAGAAGATTCGGCCTCCATAACAAAACGCTGGCTCTGTAGAGATCCTCCCACTGTAACACTTTTTACCTCTATAGTGGAAGACGTCAAATTGATGGAATGTATGACTTTCACTCTGCGACTGCAGGGAGATTTGGGAAGGAGACGGTGGAGAAAATGGCTGGACTTTACAGCTTGTGGCAGCACCCTTTAATGCATAGAATTAGTAATGCAGACTTGTTGACGTATGTATGTGTGGATGTGCAGATGTATGTACAGGTGTATGTTATCTTCCCATGACCTCATACTGTTTCTGTTTTTTCTTTTTTCTTTTATCTTGTTGCATAAAAATGTTCCTAAACAAATAAAAAGTGTCAAAAAAAAAAACATTCACCGTGCCTCATTTCTGTCTGCCTTTATTTACTTTCCGGCTCTTTGAAACGTCGTCGGCAAAATGTTGAGGAAAAGCACCGAGTTTTTTAAATGGACTAACAATGAGGTGGAGTTGTTGCTGCGAGTAACACAAAAGTACAAAGTTGCAAAAGCGAGTGAGAATTAAAGAATTTGAAGAAAAGCTATCTGAAGCATGTACAAACTGATATTAATCTTTAATAGGGCTGTCAAAATTGAGAGCAAACAAAACAACTGCTGTATAATGCCCTCCGCTATCTTTGTTTAATTGGTCACATGACTGCATCATAAAACTAACATGTGTCATCATTTTCAAAAGTCTCCGTTTTCACTGTCCACACTGCGACGTGAAAGCACCGTCTTTAAATGTATTTGTTTTTGAGAGCGTTTTCAATATGATGCATTTTCCTTCGGGGAAAACACAGTCTCAGTGTAGACAGGAGGCCAAAACAGAGAGAAAACCATGCGTTTTCAAACGTAAACGCATTAGTGTGGACGTAGCCTCAGAGTACAGACAGTGGACTCTGGACTTGTGGACTGGTGTCAGCAGAACCACCTGCTGATCAACACTGGGAAAACCAAGGAGTTAGTGGTGGACTTCCGGAGACACAGACCCACCACACTGACACAGGTGAACATCCAGGGAGTGGACATTGAGATAGTGGACTCTTATAGGTACCGGGGTGTTCACCTGAATAATAAACTGGACTGGAGCCACAACACTAATGCTCTTTACAGGGAGGGTCAGAGCAGACTCTACCTACTGAAGCGGCTGAGGTCATTTGGAGTCTAGGGAGTGCTTCTAAAGACATTCTATGACTCTGTGGTGGAATCCATCATTTTTTACCGTGTTGTATGTTGGAGCAGCAGTTTATCGACAGCTAAGAGGAAGAGGTTGGATAAACTTATCAGGAAGGACAGCTCTGGGATGCACCCTGGATCTAGTGCAGGTGGTGGGAGACAGAAGGACTCTGGCCAAAATAACTTCTCTGATGGACAGAGTCTCCCACCCCATGCATGTAAATGTTGCTGAACTGCAGAGCTCCATCAGTGACAGACTGCTGCATCCTAGATGCATGAAGGAGCGTTTCTGCAGGTCCTTCCTCCCTGCAGCTGTCAGACTGTACAATCAAAACTGCTCACAACAAACATAGATGTTTACTAGGGGTGCAACGATACTCGTATCGATATTGAACCGTTCGATACAATGCTTTCGGTTTGGTACGCATATGTATCGAACAATACAAAATTTTTAATTTATTTTATCAACTTTCCTTCTGACGATGCTGTCTGTGTTGAGCGCTCAGTGGATCTGCGCTCGACAGTGCAGCCTAGGCGGAGTAGTCGAACGCAGATTCACTGAGCGCAGGGCAAGCTAGCAGACAGAAGTTAAGCTCTCCTTGCAACATGGCAAATTGAACCTCCCCCACCCTCATTCAGATGACTGTTTTGGTTTTCATGTGACGTATGACCCTGAAGGTAAGCGCGTCATGGACAAAAGTAAAACAGTATGTTGGATGTGCCACGCAATGCTCAATTACATGGGTGGGAACTAGTGCGTTAGCGCAGTTAGCTCGTTAACGTGTTGGCCGTCCAGCCCCACGCACGGGGCGATCCGCGGTAGCTCGTTAACGGAGATTTGCCGTGTTGTGGCGTTAACGTCATTTCAACGAGATTAACGCTGACAGCACTAGTGGGAACACAACGAATATGACTGCACATTTACGCCGACATCATCCTAGTGCAAAGACAAGTGGAAGCAGACAAAAACAACAAGCAGCATGCTACAAACTTTACCCGAGTCATTTAGACAGCCGTTAGCACATGATTCTCCTTATGGGGACCTGATATGTTTAATATGCTGCTGAGAATATAGCCCAGAAGAAGCGTATAGTATAGCTTTTATTTTGGAAAGAGCCATTTCTCTGTAATAAACTCTCTTTTCCAAAGATGAGTGATTCTCATCAGATAGATTTATTTTTTTATTACTTTGTTGTTTCAGCAACATTAAATTTAAAAACTGTACTTTTGAGTTAAAATATATATTTATAATTTTAATAAATGACAAATTAAAAAGGCATGAACATTTTTTTTGTATCGAAAAAATATCGAACCGTGACACCAAAGTATCGAACCGAACCGAACCGTGAATTTTGTGTATCGTTGCACCCCTAATGTTTACATCAGTGCTGTAACAACTTCTATTGTTATAACTTGCACATTACTTTTCTCAGTTTATATATACACAAGTTACATGTCTACAGGTACAATATTCAGTCATATCAACCATCTTTATTATTTATTTTAACTATTTAATAATAATAATAATAATAATGGATTGGATTTATATAGCGCTTTTCAAGGCACCCAAAGCGCTTTACAACACCACTATTCATTCACTCTCACATTCACACACTGGTGGAGGCAAGCTACAGTTGTAGCCACAGCTGCAGCTGGTGTTGGGCCCTCTGGCCAACACCAGTAGGCAAGTAGGGTAAAGTGTCTTGCCCAAGGACACAACGACCAGGACAGAGAGCCCAGGGATCGAACCGGCGACCTTCCGGTTACAGATGCGATTCCCAACCCCCTGAGCCACAGTCGCCCAATAAGTATTTAAACATCTTTCAGTATCCTGCACTGTTTGCACACTACAACCTGGGTTTGCCACTTATCTATACTTTAATTTTAATAACTGTACAGTACTCTGCTTTGGTAACTATTGTCCATGATGTAAATATGTAAAAACTGTGTTTCTGTTCTGTGTCCTGTTCTGTTTGTATACGTGTGTTTTTGCTGCTGATACAACCACATTTCCCCTTGTAGGACAATTAAAGGATTATTCTAGTCTTCTATCCTATTCTATACTTTTGACCCTGTGTAAATTAGAGAGAATCCTAATACCTAATACCCTTTTCTGTATTATGAGTCCAGTCCAGTTTATTGTTCAAATAAACACCAAAATACCTGTAGCTATCCACAGCCTCAATGTCCATACCTTGAAAACTCCACCCTTTTCCGGCTGAGAACCATGGCTTTAGATTTGGAGGTGCTGATCCTCATTCCCGCCGCTTCAGATTCGGCTGCGAAGCATTCCATTGCGAGCTGGAGGCCAGCACCAGATGAAGTCAACAGAACCACATCATCCGCAAAAAGCAGAGATGAGATTCTGACACCACCTAAGTGAAAGCCTTCTGCCACTTGGCTGCGCCTAAAAATTATGTCCATAAAAATTATGAACAGAATCGGTGACAAAGGGCAGCCCTGGCGGAGCCCAACACCCATTCGGGAATGAGTCCGACTATGTGGACCAAGCTCTTGCTACAGTTGTATAGGGACACCCCATACTCCCGCAGCACCTCAAACAGCACACCAAGGGACACGGTCAAATGGACCAAATAGCATATGGATCAATAGGGGCTCTATGTCCATGTCGCTCTTGGGGGTCACTCCCATAGGCCTTAATTCTGAGACTCTCCACCATCTAAGAACTGAAGACGCTTCTCAGATGAAATATCTTCAACCAACTTAAAGAAGTCCAGACATTTTTCTTTCCAAGTTCCTTAGACATATAATATATAACTGTATATAATTTCTTGAGCAGTGTATTTAAGTCTGTATTAATACTTTTGATCCTGTGTAGATTACCTTCCTGATGTTGGCCAGTCCATTCATGACAAGACAGTCTTCTCGGTCTTCCTCATCATCCAGGTCCAGCAAGGGGGAGCTGTGTTGGTCCAGGAAGAAGCACTTGGAGCCCTCATTTCGTGGGTCAAAGGGATCCACAATAATGGGCTCTGTGCCTTTGATCTCACAGCGACAGAAAGGGCATCCTTGGCCATCTGATTCCTGAATAGATATAACAGGCTAGTCATACACAAACATACAAAAACACAGGTGGTGACATTTTAGATTAGATTAGATTAGATTAGATTAGATAGAACTTTATTAATCCCTCGGGTGGGTTCCTCTGGGAAATTCGATTTCCAAAAAAGCACAGCACCGACAGAAGTTACAGAGTTACAGAATATTATATATATATATATATATATACACACACACATATATAAATACAGAGACAATATAAATAAAATATACGAAGGGGATAAATAGAATAAATAGGAATAAAAAATAAAAATACAAGTGAATTGCACATTTCAAGTATTGAGTCTATATATTATTATATAAATACAAAGTATAATTATATAAGTATATATGTATATATATATATATATATATATATATTTTTTTTTTTTTTTTAACCAAAAAATATAACTAAATGCCACATGTTGTTTCAGTAACATCATGAAATTATTGTGCATTCATTGTAAAAGACCCTGTCAAAAACATAAAAAATAGCAGTATAACGTTTTCGAGCATCTATCTAACAAAGACAGAACAAAGCTATGCTTTTGGTAGCCATATAGTTGGGAACGTGACTGTGGACTTGTGGGAACTGATGTCTGTTAATTAAAAGCTTTACCTTTAGCCACATATGACACACATTTAAACTTTATTTTTGAGTGATTGTTTCATTCATAAGTCAACATTTCAGTAGCACACTGGAAGAATTCTGAGTCAAATGATTATTCTCTGTGGGCTTATTACCACACTACTATATCACTATTACCATTATCACAGAAAAAAAAATACAGGCCGGTTGCATACATTACTTATTGTTTTCTTTGAATAAATAAACCTGCAGATTTTTATCATCCTTAGCTTTTGGACAACTCTTCTAATAATTCTTTTCACTCGAGTCTTTCAGGGAGCACCTACTTGTGGCCAGTTTATGGTAAATGAGTGATCAGTTCTGCAACCAGTGCTATCAGTTTGTTTTGCAACAATAAGGTTACAAAGGTATTGAGAGAACTCACTGGTTTTACCAGTCATGAGATGTTTGTTGTGTGACACCTTGGTAATGACAGACCTTAATAGGCCACCAGCTGGAACTGAACCAGCTCATTTTAATTTGAATTAAGTGGCAGGATTGCTTGGAAATTACTGATAGATTTCAGCTGGTGTCACTGCTTTCCATGCCTTTTACACCTCCCTTTCTTTATGTGTTCAATACTTCTTCCGTGTATAATTTCTCTATTACACATAACTTTTTTCATGGACATCTATGGTTTGATTTCTTTGCATCTGTAGGTTGGATGCTACTGACATCTGGTGAGAATGTCATGTCAATACTGCCTTCAAAAATATATTTACTTTGAAACTTGGTGAAATGTTCAACACTTATTTTATTCAATGTTAATCTTTTTCTTTTATTTATTTACTTGTTTTCTTTTATTATTCTTATTATTATCTCTGTGGTTATACACTGCTGAAGGTGACAGGGATAGTAAAGAGAAGGAGTAGGTAAAAAAAGGGAAAAACTGCAAGACTTAAACAAATAGCTCCCTGTGTCCACCCCAACATCCCTAGAGAAGCTGATGATAACCACATCTTGCATGTGAGCTCTCGTCAATTTTTAGTTTGGAAGGACCAGCATGTGTTATTGATGGAGACATGCGGGCACACACTCCCTTTGTGACTCTAATCTATTGTGGGTGTTTTAACATCCCTGGATAAAGTTCTTTCTTTTTCTACAATTAAGGTTTATTTGGCAACTATATCTGCTTTTGATATTGGATATGATGAGGTGACTTAAGGTGTACCTTAAGTACGCTGTACTGGTGTAGAGTCAACAACCTGTCTCTGAACGTGGACAAAACAAAAGAGTTGAATATCAACTTCATGGGAGCACAGAGAGATCACTGTGCACTTAACATCAATGGATCCTCTGTGGAGGTCGTCAAGAGCACAAAATTCCTTGGTGGTCACCTGGTGGAAAACCTCTCCTGGTCCCTCAACACCAGCTTCATAGTTAAGAAGGCCCAACAGCATCTTTACTTCCTGCGGAAGCTGAGAAAAGCCCATCTCCCATCACCCATTCTCACCTTTTACAGAGGGACTATTGAGAGCATCCTGAGCAGCTGCATCACTATCTGGTATGGTAGCTGCACCGTATTGGATTGCAATATCCTACATTGGCTAGTGAGAACAGCTGAGAAGATCACTGGAGCCTTTCTTCCCTCCATTACAAACACGTATCGCACCCACTGCATCCGCAAAGCTGCAGAGGACCCCACAAACCCCTCACACACACTCTTCACACTGCTGCCTTCTGGCAAGAGGTACCAGAGCATTCGGGCCCTCACTGCCAGACTGTGAAACAGTTTCTTCCTCCAAGCCATCAGACTCCTGAACACTCAGTAACTGGACCTTAATACATGTCACTACCTCAAGCATTTAACTGCACAATCTCATATACACAAACACACACACGCACACCTTCATACATCAAGCTACCTTTTGTACAATGCTCAGTCTTTTGCACAACCCACTGTCATTGTTGCACTTTTCTATTGCACTGTTGTGTCTGCACTGTCTTGTGTCTGCATTATTCTGTTCTGTCTGGTGTTGCACTGTTTTTTTGTTTGGTTTTTGGCAATTTTTGCACACTTGCAATTTATATAGTTCTGTGTTGATTGTCTGTTATATGTCATATGTAGCACCATGGTCTTGGGGGAACGTTGTCTGGTTTCACTGTGTACTGTACCACTGCACATGGTTGAAATGACAATAAAGCCACTCGACTTGACTTGAGTACTGCTTCTCACTTTAGGGTCTGCAAAGTGAGTGGGTAGGCTTCATGCATTTTTTTGTGCATCCTTCTTGCACACAGTTCTCTTCTGACAGCCTTAGGGTCGTATTACGTCCAAATATGTTAGGGTACCTGGATCGTTGTGGTTTTTTTTTTTTCTTTGACTCTTGTTTATTCGTTGTTGTTTTCTCTGTGTGACTTTTTTCCTAGTTGACTTATCTGTATTTCTAGTTCAGGTTGTCTGGTTAGTTATTAGTTCCCTTTTCATGTCCTGGTCTCGTCTCTGTCCTGTTTGCCTTGGTCTTGCCTTTGTGTGTCCACCCCTGTTAGGTCAGTCTTGTCTTCATGTTTGTCTGCCTGTTTCCCTAGACATGTGTTCTTGTGTCCCTCTCGTCCCTTGTTCTTTCGCCCTCTCTCATCCCTTGCTCTCTCATCCTCACTGTCTTGCCTCCTTCCCCTGGGTTTCATCTGTCTGTGTCCAATTGTATGTGTTTCTTGTACTTCCTCTTTTAGATTGACAGACAGATTACGCTCAGCTGTGTTCCCTCCTGTGCATTGTTCTCTCGTTTGCCCTTGTCGCAATCGCCCTCATTCCCCACTGTGTTCTGCCTGTTAGTTAAGTTCCTGAACAGTTTTTGCAGTCCAGCAATAAAGCTGCCACTTGAGTTTGGTCTACATTTTGGGTTCCTCAAACCTGCGTGCCTCACACAGTGAATGACAGAATGCTGAGTTTTCCTAAACTTATTCCTGTGGCTTATAGTACTATATAGAATTTGAGCTTGTGAGCTCTTGCCTTTCTCTTTTCGCATTTGAGGAAAAAAGGAGGCTGGATTCTCTCTGTCTAAGTCCAGTTGCTTGTCTGCTTCGCTAACCAAGTCAGAGCTTTGTCTAAACAGAGGTTAACTCGCCGGATTATGGACGTTTTCCTTGGCATACGGCACTAAGGGTCTCTCTTTTCCCCAGGGCGTGAGAACACATTCCACCGGAGGAATGGGAACCTGAAGGGCCCTTTTTAAAGAAAACTTGCAATCAGCGTTACACGGACAGCTTATACACCAACTGGGTAGTGGTGGTTAGCACCAAGCTAGATTGACTCAACAGGTGTTCTTAACAAGGTGAAGAGCGGAAGAACTGAGAGATGACTGTGATGACAGGGGTGTATGTGTGCAGGCAGGTGACCAAAATAAGTGCAGGCAGACATATTATCACAGGTCTTTTGCCTTAGAGCAGTAAATTGATTTTTTATCAGACATTTTATCAGTATCATGGAGTCTTTTCACTTTACCTAGCATGCATCAGCACACACACTGGACCTTGTATGTGTTAAATATTGATTCTGTTTCTTCTGTGGACATTTTGTGGCGTACTTGGAAAACTACACCAGACGGCAGAATATACGCATTGTGGGGATACCAGAGAATGCGGAGGGCCCACGACCAACAAAATTCATCACCAAACTACTCTTTGATGTGCTTGGGGAGAACAACTTCGAGAGGCCGCCATCGGTGGCTAGAGCCACGTCCGTTCATTGTCAGTCTCCACCACTTCCAAACCACAGAGCTGATCCTACGCCTCGCCAGACAGAAGGGCCCGCTCCTATTCAATGGATCGAGATTCCACATATTTCCTGACTACAGCCCAGAAGTCAACAAAAGACAAAAGTCTTCTCCAAGTCCAAAAGGAAGCTCCACAGTGCAAAGGTCAAGTTTGGTCTCTTCTACCCAGCCACTCTGCAGTTCACACACAACGGGAAATGCATGAGATTTACCGACCCTGCAGAGGCGCTGACCTACGTTAATAATTAATATCACTGTTGATAACGAACGCCCCGCCTCGCACCCTGCAGAGACTGGTGACTGAGGTAAGGTAACGATTGGGTTAATAACATTGAAAATCATTTCACAGAAGGTGGCATCATTAGACATGGCTACTCTGTCATATTTTGAATATTTCTTTACTCTCATTGTGTTCTATTATCATTGGTCATAGTGGCAATGAATGTTTTATATTTGATGGTGTAAATACACACCACACATAATGCCACTCATGAGCACCTTCCTTTTCTTCATTACTGATGTTATTGCCCTTTTTTTCTTTTGTCTTTTCTCTTTTTCAAATTATGAAAGGGCGTTACAGTTTGTTTAATACCCTGTTGGAGAGGTTCATTAATGGTTCAAACATGTATCCTTTATTGCGGGCAGCATGCAAATGCAGGTTTGTTTTGGGGTGGTAGCCTTTTTAAGGCCTGTTTATGTGTTATGTGTTACGTGTTGTTTTGGTGTGGCATTTGCTCTGTATTC